CGTGGGAGTCCAAGTCTGGTAGAATATCTAGTTAGGTGTACACGTCTGTAGGCATACCATTAAGTTCAGATATGATGAATCGCTTGGAGGGGTACTTTGATGCTGGAGAGGAAGAGGAATTCAAGACGTTGTTCTTGATAATTGCTTTAGAGATGGTATTGTGTCCCACGCAGTCACCCTGACTTGCGTCTGACCTACTACCTGCAGTAAGTTGTGCTATGGAGGCAATTGAGTACGATTGGTGTTCTTTAGTGTTGTCGAAGTTGCTGGAGAGCGTAGAAAATTTTGCTCGACGTTTCCATGCTAATGGGTTTGCTAGTGGATGCGGCGGGTGTGCAATATTTGCCGTAGTATGTGTTTCAGTGTATTGTTGCTTGTTCTTTTATGATCTTGTGCTTTTGTGGTTTAGTAATTGCTTGTTTTGCTTTTATTATTTGGCAGATATTTTACTTGGATCGGTTGGATAGGGATCCTATTCAGTGGGATGTTTTTCCAAAAATTAAAGTGTGGACGATGCAGCAGATGGGGAAGGCAGCAAAATCAGACAAATTTCTGTCCAGCGACTACGAGAAACTAGGGGTAAGCACTTTTGTGTTTGTATTATATTGCATAGTATTATATTGCACAGTATGCATAGTGTTCTGCTTCAATCAAATAAGGTTTAGAGTAACCTTTTTCCATTTGTATTTGTTTGTGTTCAAGCTATTGGATGTTGCTTACGGTGAACAACACCCAAGGGATGCAAGGGATAATGTTGGACCCCTATAAGCTGGAGTGAATAATGTGAGGTTTGGTCTTAAAGTAGTTATTTCACCTGTGTACTTTGAATATGAATCTGAAGTAACTTTGTTTGGATGCAGATGCATGATTTACCAGTGCCTGGGGTTAACTTCAAGGCTAGGCAAAGGAGGGGCCGAATGCCTGAGCTAACAGATCAATGAGCTCAGTTATTTGTATTTGTATTTGTATTTTTTTTAGTGTGGAATGTTCTGAATAATCTTAAAGGATTTGGATATTGTTATTTAATTTCACTTTGGAATGTGTAATAAGGGTTCTGGAATAATCTTACAGGATATGGATATTATTTTCAGTTTTGTTGAATACTAAAAAAGTTTATCAATTGACGAAATATTATTCCAATTGTTTGTTGTATATATTAATAATATAAAAATTTGTCAATTGACGAAATATTATTCCAATTGTCAATTGTTTGTTGTATTAATAATTCAGGGTTAAGGTCTTGAGATCAGTTTCAAGGCTTTGTAAAATAATTCGTAGAGTAGTTGTTAGTCTTTAAAACTAATGTTTGAATGAATAAGTTTAGAGAGAGAAAGTGTGAGAGAGTTTTGAGTTTGCCTCCCTTTTTTTTTTTGCGGCAAACGCCATGGCTAACCGCAAGAAGGGGAAAGCAAAGAAACAATCTGGCTGTAAATCCTCTTCTAAAGCTCGAAAGAAATAACGAGCTAAGCTTCGTGCATGCAAGAAGGATCCATTAAAGGACAATAATGATGCTGTTGAATTCGATTTTGGTGTGAGTTGGCTTGATGGAGTGAATGTTGATGAAATTCCTGTTAGGGTTTTGCAAGATGAGGATAATAATCAGAATCGTCAACAATTCAATCACAAGTTGGAGGTAATTAGTTCTTCAACTCCTTCTTTAATGAATAAGAAATCCTCTGTTGATTCTGTTCTTCTGGGTTCAGGCTTTGTGAATTCAACCCCTCTTGTGATGATTGCTGAGGATAATGAGCAGAATATGCCTGATAATAATGATGATAATCCTGCATTTGGGGGTAATTTGAACTGGACTGGTAGGGTTAGTCCGAAAATGAATTCCTTTGTTTCTTCTTACTCTATTAATGGCAGCAAGAATAAGAAGAAGTAGAATAACCTGTTTAAGGGGAATCTTGATGAGGGGTTGAATCTTAAATCCAATAAAGAATCGGAGCATATCACTAGAAATGCAGGGCGTATGATGCAATTGAATGTAAATGATGTGCAAGATGAATTGGATTTTTGGAGTTCGCTGTTGTTTGCCATGTCCTGTGCATTAAACCTTCGCTATATGTGATGAATGGTTACTTGAGAAGGATTTGGGGGAAATATGGTATTGATAAAATTTTGGCTAGATCAAATGGTGTATTTCTTGTGCGATTTAAGTCCAAAGATATGAGAGAATGAGCATTAGCTATTGGTCCTTTCTTATTTGATAGAAAGCCTCTAATTGTCAAACGCTGGGAATCGGACTTAGATTTAACTCAAGTGGATGTTAATGAGGTTCCAACCTAGATTAGATTACCTAATCTTGATTTGAAATTTTAGGGAAGAGCTGCCATAATGAAGATTACTAGTCTGATTGGAAAACCGATTAAAACGGATAAAGCCTCTGCATCTAAGGAACTTGTGGAATATGCTCGAATTATGGTGGAAGTAACTGTTAATGGTGAATATCCTGATTCAGTGGAGTTTCTTGATGAGAATGGTAAGTTGGTTAATCAAAAGGTGATATATGAATGGAAACATGTAACCTGTACTATGTGCAAAGGAATGGGGCACTATAAGAAAGATTGTCCTAATCATTATGTATGTGCTCAGCCTAAGAGGCATGTTCATATGCAAGCTCCTGTCCAGAAACAGAAGGTCGATCAAAAAGGAAGGAAGAAGCAACAACAGGTCTGGAGACCTCTGAAGGAGAATGTGAGGAGTGTGAATGAGGTTAGGAATGAGATCCCAATGAGAAATCAATTTGAGCAGTTGCAAAAGAATGATCATAATCAAGAGATGGACCCTGAGGGAGTGCACAGGGGAACTGAATCAGAGCAACATTTTGTTCATGAGGGTAGGGTGCTGTGTGGAGATTGGATGGAGGGGAAATGCTATTATTCTAAAAATGGATAGGTGGGGCTTTTGGAATGTTAGAGGGATAAATAAACTTCAAAAAATTTGTGATGTTGTATGGTTTCTGAAACATCATAATATTGGTCTATTTGGCCTCTTAGAAACTAAAGTGAAGGCTAGGAAGTTTGGTAAGGTGTTTGAGAATTTCAGGAGAGAGTGGTCTGTTGTCACTAACTATGGAGATGTTGATGGAGGCAGAATTTGGGTTATTTGGATGCCCTCTATTTTTCATGTGGAGGTTGTTTTCACTGTTGTTCAACTTATTCATGTGAAAGTTACTCACAGAGCCTCTCGAGGTGTGTTTTGGTGTACAACGGTTTATGGTCTGAACCTAGCTAAAGATAGAGAGAGACTTTGGCAGCAGATAAAAAGTATTAGTGCCAACATGGTTGGTCCCTGGGTTGTATGTGGGGATTTTAACAACATACTAAATTTTGAAGATAGGCTAGGTTCCTTATGTACCCTCTCTGAAGTTAGTAATTTCAGATATTGTATTAGAGAAGCTGGTTTGCAGGAGCTCAAAACAGGTGGTGCTTTTTATACGTGGAATAATAAACAACATGGGAGTGATAGAGTTTGTTCTAGAATAGATAGGGTCTTGGTTGATAGTGCTTGGATGGACAAATTTCCTACTGCTATTGCTACTTTTCTGCATGAGGGGTTAATGGATCACTGTCCATGTAGTGTGACTATGTATGGGGATAGTCTAAACATTAAAAAACCTTTTCGGTTTTTCAATCTATGGATTGAAGCTCCTGGTTTCCTAGATATGGTGAGGGATAATTGGTGCACTTCTGAAAGAGGCACTGCAATGTTTACTGTGGTCAGGAAGTTGAAAAATGTGAAGAAGGAGTTGAAAAATCTTAATATGAATAAGTATTCTGATATTCTAAATGCTGACTTTATTGCTGCTGACAGGTTGGCTAAGGTCCAGAAGGAGCTGAGTTTAGCTCCATTAAATACTGAGATTCTTGAGGCTGAGAAAGAAGCTAGGGAATCTTACAAGGTGTCTCACTCAACTAAGTTCAAGTTCTTGAAGCAAAAGGCAAAATTACACTGGCTAAGAGAAGGAGATATGAACTCTTCCTACTTTCATGCTTGTATCAGGCAACAAAGAATTCAAAATAGAGTGTGTTATATTCAGGGACAGAATGGTACTATGATTGAGGATCCTGAGAGTATTGTTGCTGCGTTCTGTGAAATTTTATAAAGAGCTACTTGATTCTCATAAGCCAGTTGAACAGGTCCTGCACCCTATTGTTATTCAAGAAGGCAAAACTCTTTCAGCTGATCAGAAGAGTAATTTGTGTAGGCCATTTACAGTAGAGGATGTGAAGACAGCTCTTTGGAGTATTGAAGATGGCAAAGCCCCGGGGCCAGACGGATTCTCAAGCAAATTCTTTAAGGCAACTTGGGATATCACTAATGGGGACATATGTTCTGCCGTTTTGGATTTCTATGCAAGTGGTAAGATGCTTAAACAAATAAATGCTACTAGACTTACTCTGATTCCTAAAGTTGATAATCCTAGCCTTGTTTCTCAATTTCGGCCAATTGCGTGTTGTAATGTGATATATAAAATCATCTCAAAGCTCTTGTGTAATAGATTGAAAGAGGTTCTTCCTAGCCTAATTGATGAAGCTCAGGGAGCCTTTGTAGCTGGGAGGTCTATTATGGTTAACATTTTAATTTGTCAAGACATGCTCAAGGATTATGCAAACAAGAGGAAATCCCCAAGATGTACAATTAAAGTAGATTTGAGGAAAGCGTATGATACTATGCAGTGGAGTTTTATTAGAGATATGCTTTCTTGGCTGGACTTTCCTGAGCAGTTTATCAAGTGGATAATGGATTGTGTTAGTACTCCATGTTTTTCTCTTATGATTAATGTTGGCATCCATGGCTTCATTAAAGGGCAAAGAAGAATACGACAAGGAGATCTGTTGTCTCCTCTACTTTTTGTGATCGTAATGGAGTATCTTACTAGGTTGTTGAAGAAAGTTGGGAAAGAAACAAAGTTCAAGTTCCACTATAGATGAAAGCCCTTGAAGCTCAATCACCTAATTTTTGCTGACAATCTCATGTTGTTTTCCTATGGCAACATGAATTCAGTTTCTTACCTCATCAGAGCTTTAAAGATTTTTGGTCGAGTTTCTAGGTTGGAGGCTAATGTTGAAAAAACAGCCATCTTTTTTGGAAATGTGCGAGACAGGGTGGTGAAAGAGGATATTTTGAATTGCTCTGGTTTTATTAATGGTTCTGCTCCTTCTAAATACTTGGGGATCCCTCTCAATTCTAGACATCTCAGGCTTGCTAATTTTGATGTGCTGATGGACAAGATGCTTCATAAGCTCACCTGTTGGTCCTCTAGGAACCTCTCTTATGCTGTCAGGGTTACTTTGGTGAATTCTATTCTGATTAGTTTACATTCGCACTGAGCACAATGCATTCTCTTACCTAAAGTTGTCATTGATAAAATTAATCAGCTTTGTAGAGGTTTTATCTGGGAAGGATCATCCATTCTTTCTAAAGCTCCACCTCTAGCTTGGAGTTGGGTATGCTCTCCTAAGAAGATGGGTGGTTTGGGAGTTAGAGACTATGAGAATTGGAATATGGCAGCATTGGGGAAGTATATCTAGAAAATTGCAAAGAAGAAAGAATCGTTGTGGATAAAATGGGTTCATAATGTTTACATTAAAGAGAGAGACTGGTGGTCTTACAGTCCTAAGAAAGGGGATGGTTGGGCCTAGAAGAAAATGTGCAAAGTGAAGGAGATTTTGAAAGATGGTTTCACCTGACGGGGCTAGATGGACAATAAGTATGCCATCTCAGAGGTTTATAAGTGGCTGCAAGGTGAGAAAGAGAAGGTAGATTAGAGTGTTTGGGTTTGGAACAGATATAATGTCCCTAAACATTCTTTTATTGCCTGGCTGGCTGTGTGGGGAAGGCTAAGAACTAGAGAGCAACTATTTCGGTTTGGAGCTTGTGACAGCAGCCTGTGCCTTCTTTGTGGTGAGAACACTGAGAACAAGCAACATCTTTTTTTTGAGTGTGCTTACAGCAGACAGTGCATTGCTAGTATTAGCTCGTGGTTGCAGATTATTGAGCAGGCTTTCAATATTGATACTTCATGGAAGGATTGGAAGAAGGCTGTGAAGGACCCCATCAAAAGAAGAGTCTGTTTTACTGGTCTAGCTGCTGTGGTTTATTATATTTGGTGGGCCAGAAATTCTGCATTATGGAATAAAGCTGTTCCTATTCCTAATTTGGTTTGCAGAAAGATAGGTGCTGAGGTTATTGATAGATGTCATCAGATGGTGAGCAAGAAATGGAGACAGCAGCAGTGCAAGTGGCTTTATGATGATTTAAGGAAGAATTGTCCCCTGTAATTTGTTGTGCAGCTTTTAGGTTGTTGTTTTTTCTCCCTTCTTTTTTGTGGTTGTTTGGCTCGTTTGATGGGTCGTTGTAGTTTGGGTTGTAAGGGCTTGCCCTTTTCTCTTTTGGTAATAATATTTGCTTACTTGCCAAAAAAAAAACGAATAAGTTTTGTACTAAAATGGCCTTAAAGAAAAAGAAATCAATGAGCTTAGTTATTTGTATTTGTATTTCATTTACGGGTTCTGGAATAATCTTACAGGATATTTCATTTAAGGTCAAGGTCTTGAGATAAGTGAATATTAATCCGAATTTGTCTTGGAATTCATTTTAAGGCTTTGAGATTCAGTTCAAAACTTACAAAACAAACTTTGAAACTTTAGGCAGAATATAAGTTGCATAAATAAAACTGAAGTAAAAGCAATAAAATAAAGCAAATAAAATGAGACAAGAGACAAAGATATTTTTACGAAGTTCGGCAAAAATGCCTACGTCTCCGCCTAGGGTTGTTCAACCCGTAGGTTTATAAACTTCTTTTATTTCTTCCTTTAGAGCCCTAAAGCACTTACAAGATCACCTCTCTTCTACTCGTAACCACCCGATTACAGTTTAGAAACTCAATTCCCAGAAATAAAAGACTACCTAAAATACTTTGAGTATCATAAAATTACTCTAAGGATGTCTCTCTTTTGATATAATATTTTTTGCTCTTAGATACACTCTTTCTTTTCTCTCAATCACACAATAAGGTATTAAAGAATTTAGAGAGAAAATATGAAACACTCTTTAAATAGCTCGATAGTTCTTGATGCCTTTTGCAAAGACTTGTACGCTATTTATAGAGTTATAAGGCCTTGAAACTCTGAGCTTTGAATTTGAAAAACGATTGAAGCCTCAACGGAAACTTTGAACGAGTCTTGCATTTCTTTTGGAGCTTCCTAATAACGCTCAGAGAAGTTTGGCCTATCTTTAAGGAATTCTTGTAAAATAGAAAATTTCAAACTCAAGCAATTTCGATTTCTGCAAAACAAATTTGTTAGAAAAATCTTATCCGAAATAAAAGATAACAAATCACTATCTTTTGAACATAAATATCTAATATTTGTTTAGCCTTAGCCCAAAGCCGAAAGTGTATCATCACTCGAATGCATAAACAATGTTGAGACTTATTGGGCTACACTTATTGGGCTTTTCAAAATGTTGAGACTTCCATCATAAACAAAATAAGTCCAATGAGTCCAACAAGGTGGAGTCTTCAATCTCCCCCTTGATCAATATACAATAACCTGCATAAACATATCCAAACATCCAAACATATCCAACAATATCACAAAACCAAAAGAATATGTCACAAAACCAAAACTACACATTTCTCCCCCTGTAGAGAGGCCTATGTGCTGCTCTCATGGTCTAGTCCCTCTACATTTCATCTAGTCTCCGTTGTTGTTCCTCAGCTCGGTATTTCTTAACCACCCCATACTCTTCCACTGTGAGGATACAGGGCTCGATAACAGTAGGGCGTAGAATAGGACGATTACGCAAATAACGCTCATAGTTAAGAAGGACATTGGCAGCTCTTTCACGGGCATGTTGAGCAACATCCTCGTGTAGGGGCATGATACTGCTAGTAGTAGTGAAATTGAGAGCACAGAGATGGAAGAGCTGATTCACTTTGGCATTTACAATTGCCAAGAGCTCTTGAGTGTGGTCCAGCTTTGAATCAAGGTCATGAACATCACGACGAAGGTCATCTAAACCAAACTCCAGAGGATCCAAACGAGAGGAGGACATAGAAAAGTCAGCAATGCCTTTCCCTTTAGATAGAGATGAGGGTAGGGCATCAACTTCCTCTAGAGTAAGATCACAATGAAGTTTCCAAGAACCGTCTGGAAGAAGCAAAATACCCATTTTGGTAAGGGAATCGAGACCAATTCTAGGAGACTGAAGACGTTCGACTTCCTCATTGGCAACAGAGATGTCGAAAAAGTGGAATATCTTAGGAAGCAGGTTTTCATAAGGCAAAGGTTTAGGCCTTGATGAAGAGACGCAATGAAGCATTTGACTTAGAATGAAACTTGGCAGATCAAGATTATACCCATTGAATAGAAGAAACTGAATTTCAAGAGCCTAATCAGTGATTAATTCCTTGGAGTTTGTTCGGGGAACAATACAACGAACCAAATAGGTGAAAATTATCTTGGGTTCGAGGAGAAGAGATGAATGAGTCAGTTGACGAGAAGGGGGAAGTTTGGGAGCAAGAATTGTTCTTTAGCCTTTGTGACACATTCGGTACGGGGAGGATGTGAATCTCGTGAGAAATCAGGAGATATGCCAAGAATTTGAGCCAGTGTAGAAGAAGTCAGAGTAATTTCCTTCCATTTTACTAGAGAAGTAAGAGATGTCTGCCCTCGATCCTTTGAAACAACCATATTAAGGTAAAAGAGACAAGTAAGGCGAGGGTAAGCAACATCAGAAAAACATGAAAAATTGAACAGATTTGAGTTTCAAAAAATCCTAAAACTATTTAATTTAGTAGAGGAGATGAAATCGACATCCATTAATTCGGAAAAACAAATTTTACGGGAGTGAAATCCGTCTTTCCATCTACCATGAGCCTATTATTGCGAAACCAAGAGGATGGAATTGAAGAGTTTACCTCTGGGTCACTTGGATTACGAGACGAAGAATCCGAGGCTGACGACTCGGAGGATGAAACTTTAACCACCTTCCGCTTTGAGGAAGAAGCACGAGTATTTGCCACCTTAGAGGAGGAGGGTTTGGAGGCCACTGATTTTCTTTTTTGTTCCATTGACAGAGAAGTAGGGTTTAAATTTGAGATGAAAGAAATTTTTTACGAGGGAAGAAGATGAAGTAAAGGAAGAGAGAGAAAGAGAACTCAAAGGAGGAGAGAGATGACGGTTGAGACGTGATTAGACAACTTAAGAAGAAAAATAAATACAGAAGCATGCAAAAGCCAAAAAATTATGAATAAATGATGCAGAAGACAAGGAGTCATAATTACTAATGCACATTGCACATGTTAATAAATCTTTCATAATTTGTTCTCTTCTGGAGATCAATATCAGTGGGCCAACACATTTTTAACCTTAGCCGGCTGTGCCGCCTCGGTTATTTCCCGAGAGAAAGCCGAAGGCTGTTCCCCAAGGTTTAGCACCCGGAGCTGCCAGTCCATAGGCTGGACCTGGTATGCCGCCTAACCCTCGAAGGAAGTCGACTGCATGAATGGAGATCCATACGGGGTGTATGGCTGTTGGGGCACATACGGAGCTTTCTGGATCATGTGAGGACCAATACGTGCGGACACGCCGTGCGACTGACTCCCTTGTTGCGTCTTCGAATGCTTCATTGAAGCATTTCGGAAACTGTCTGGGTAGGTCGACGTGGAGGCCGACTAAGACATGCTCTGTCTTCTCTTCTCCTGGATGAACATCTGGGCGTCAGAGAAAGTCTTCTTTGACCCATCCGGCTTTGTATGCCGGATGGCCTTCTGTTGCCCTAATTTAGGGAAACGAAGTTTTGAAAGGTCGATCAAGGGCCCATCCGTCCCCTTGGGCTAGGGGTGAGGAGTAAGCACCCGGTCTTAGATTTGCTTCTTCCCGGAGGGAGAAGGCTTCTTTGCCGACTGACCCTTGCTTGAGCCAGTTGACTTCTTGATGATTTCCTTTATTTCCCTTTTGAAACTTGTCATGAATTTCATGAGCTCGTCTCTGGTGACGGGGGCTGCACCCTCTGCCGCCTGGGGTTGCCCAGCAGGCTTGCCGCCTGGATTGCTGGGACCAGCTTTGTCTTGGCCTCGTTCCCTTGTTTCCTTGTAACGGGTGCGCCTAGATCGAAATGACTCGTCTGGGGCCATATAGGTTTCGACTTCGTAGTCGTCACCACTGCCACTTTCATGGTCCGTATAGACCTCAGGGTTAGTCGTAGGCCGGCTTCCCTCTGCAAACGGTACAGTGTCGGATGCCATCTCAATAGTAATCTCCCCACAGACGGCGCCAAATGTTTCTGGGGTTTTTGGAGTCCCTCGGGAGAATTACAATACCGAGTATGTGCGCCTGACGTTTGTACCTGCAAAACCACGAAACTCTGGTTGGGTGGAGTTCCGCCTCCGAAGATCAAGTTAGTATGATTCCGGATGAGTAAACGTGCGGAAAGTAAATTGGTCTTTCTCACTGATTCAGAGAGATTCCGCAATTAATATTGCTCGGGTTTTGTGTTTTTATTTGTGAATATGTAATAAATGAGGATTTTCCTTTATTTATAGTAGATGAGGATTTGCTCCCCCATTGGGGGTTTAATGCCACGTGTCAGCATCCGATTGGATCCTGATGGGCCTCTGGTGGGCTGCCACGTGTCAACATGCTACTGGGCCACGTGGCATAGGGTATTTTTACCCTAAACAGGTAGTATGTTTAACTCTTTTAAGTGTATGCACGTTAAGCAGGGGGTAATCTATGTCCATCTGTCAAAACTAGGGTAGAGAACCTTGAAGTTTTCAGAGAGGATCATTCTGGGCAGGTTGTGAGTATTGAAAGCGATGCACAGACGACTTTCCAGCAGAGATATATGGTAAGGATATAGCTTATAGCCATGCTCTAAAAAATGTCAGGTTAAATAACCCGCTGCATTGAATTCAGATTAAGAATTTAATAAAACCTTATGAAGTAACTAGGAAGAGTTTTTTAGCAGTTGTAGAACTGAATTTTATTGGTAAGAACAATTTTGAATATAATCATTAGGCATAACAAAGTTGATAATGATATGATCTCAGGATTTTAGATTGCTGATTGCTGGCATGATGACTATTCAGAGTTTCACACAATTAAATAATTTTTGTTTTCTCACCAATTGGGGCAACACCAGTAATATGCGAGACAGATGTTCCCGGCAAGGGCACTATTGAGGCCTTGTGCACCATGCCAAATTGCCAATGGATACTCTTTTAGAAGAATTCCAAGAAAATCATCCTTTATGAGTCAGTGGATGATAAAGAAGT